GAGAGGTTATTATGTGAGTATAGGAGAGCATAAGTCTAAGTGGACGTCCATGACATGCGGAGTCCCACAAGGCTCAATTCTTGCACCGCTCTTGTTTAGCCTGTATATGCTTCCACTAAGTCAAATAATGAGAAAGAACCAAATTGCCTTTCACAGCTATGCTGATGATAGCCAGATTTACCTAGCCTTATCTCCAAATGACTACAGCCTAGGGATGCACCGATACCACTTTTTTCAGAACGAGTCCGATACCGATACTTTCATTTTTGGTACTTGCCGATACTGATACCTATATTTTCACAGCATTTGTAATTTTTTTTAAATATTGGGTACAGAAACAAAATACTACTACTACTACTACTACTACTAATAATAATAATAATAATATGAATCATGTTAGTTACGTTACATTATACGAGTGCACGCGTACTATTTTGGTGATGTAATTTGCGTCACGTGCAGTGTACACGGACCCTCGCATATGAGTAAAAACCGAAGTATACTTTGGCCTTAAAGCAAGCTAAACATGCGCAGCGCGCACAGGTTTGTATTGGTGCAGAATGAGAGAGACACTTATAGCCTAGCGCATTTCACCCAGTCTGCTAGTTTCACTTTTGCTTTAAATAAAGTTGTGTATGCTTGACGTTTAAAGTAAATGCTGTTTATAGTGAATGCCCCTGTCATTTTTGTTTGTTTTATATTTACGATTTAGTTTAAATCCAAATGCATGCGCTAATGGAGCGAATTTCTCTTTTGCTTCAATCGTGTATGCTTGACGTTTAAAATAAATGTTGTTTAAAGTGAATGCCCCTATAATTTGTTTGTTTTATATTTACGATTTAGTTTTAATCCAAATGCATGCGCTAATGGAGCGAACAGCAATCAAGATCATGCAACAGAAGTGCACGCTCTCTCACTCTCTCTCTCCTTACCGTCAAATAACTTTAGTAAGTTTTGCATTATTTTACTTACTTGCTTTTGATATATCCGACCGAACTACAAACTTTCCAGTGATGTCTGTGAGATATTCACTCGACAAGCTCGCGCATCTGTGCATCCGTGCGCTCAATCCACTCAGCACACTCTGCTTATTAGCTCGCACACATTCGCTATACAGGCATGAATAATGATCGTTTAACATTATATTAATTACTTACATGTACTTCATAGACATCCTTAATCTCTAATAACTCCATTCTACTCTCTGTTGTTCTGTTGTCTGTGTTTCTTTTTCTGGACACAGCTCTATTCACACGCTGTTTGGTATCGGCTTTTGGTATTGGGGCATTTTTACGAGTACGAGTTCGAAATGTGCTATATAAATAAACTTGCCTTGCCTTAAAAAGTCAGAATTTCGAGATAAACAGAATTGAAAGATATAAACTCGCAAAGTCAGAATTGTGAGATTTAAACACAGAATTCTGACTTTTTTCTCTGACTTTTTTTGCAACTCTGCAGTTCTAAAAATAAATAAATAAATAGATACTAAATAATATTTTTGACTTCAATAAAACCAGTTAATTGAGATGCTACCATTTTTTAGTACATATTATATTCATACACTTCCCAGGAAAAAGCCTACATTGTGATATAAACCAATACTGGGATATAAAATGGCACTCATAAATATTATAAGAGAAAAATGCATAATTCTGAGAAAAAAAAAAAAAAAAAAACAAGAAAAAAAGTCAGAATTGTGAGATAAAAAGTCACGTAGTAACTTTTTTATTCCGTGGCTTCCAGTGAGCTTCCAAACACTGTTATGCTGTTTATGTAAAATCATCAAGCACATTTTAATATTTATAATTGTTTATACATTGCCAACAATGCTCTTGTTTTTTTACCATTTCACATTTCTGTGTTGAAAATTTTATATTTAAAACATTAATCTCATAACATTTATTTATGCATTTATAATTGTTTTAATTGCATTCATGCCACCCATTTTTATTTAGGTGGTTAACATAAACATCAAAGTTAATATGCCCCTTACCTTAATTATTCCAAAGTATTCAGATTCAGTAATATGTTACAAAATACTTTTTAAAGCATGAATTTTGTAATCTGTAGTGAAATACATTTTAAAAGTGACCTTCCCAACCCTGAATGTGCGTTTAAATAAATCGAATAATGTGCTGTTTAAGGCTTTTCACATCTTTAGAGTTGATTTTCTCTAGAGTTTAAGCCAATGTTATCTCATTTATGATGGTATTGTGTCATATATTATATCTCATATGTAGCATGAGAAGACTGAGGGCTCATGGGCTCATGCTGTGAGGCTTGTGTGTTGTAGGTGGTCTCTGTCGGGTTCAGAGCAGTTCGCCCTGCGTTACGCTGACGGGCCGCAGCTCTACATCACTGAACAGGTCAGACTCTCACTCACAGACATCCTCATGAACGGAGCTCTAGCGAGGTCCAGCAGTTGTTTGATTGATCTCCGTGTGCCTGTGTGCTTCAGAGTCGCGCTGACATTAAAAACGGCTCCATCCTCAGACTGGCCATCTCTCCTGTAAGTCTGCCGCAGTCACAACACGTTCTGCTAGACTCAAAGGAATGCTGCAGATCTCGAGGCCTGATGCTGACTAGACTAACTAGTGGCTGGTGTTTTGTTGTGTAGATGCGAGCGGCTCGACAGCTGCTGGAGCGCATCCAGTCTCATGGGATTGATGCGCGTCTGGAGGCTCTGAAAGAGCTGGCCAAACTCTCTGCTGACCCCGCGTTCGCCACAGAGTTCATCAACATGGAGGGCCTGGCAACGCTGGTGCGGCTGGTGGAGAGCGGCACGCAGTACGAGTCCTACATACGTCTGTGATTGATTGAGCAGCTCATACAAGTCTCATTTTGGGCCCCGTGGCCCCATGTTGCACAGCTTATATTTGCGGGCCTATAATCTGTTGCAGTCTGTGTGTTTCAGAGCCGTGTGTTCGAGTGATTTGTCTCTTGTGTGTAGTTTTGGGGAGATGTTGGCCTTCACCCTCACAGCGTTTCTGGAGCTCATGGATCATGGCATCGTGTCCTGGGATCTGATATCCGTGTCCTTCATCAAACAGGCAAGTGAAACACATTTAACAGAGTCTTGTATGTGTATTTCCTCAGTACTTGCATTAGTTCAGGATTTAATAGAATGCATTCAGCATTTTAATTTTGCATTGGAAAGTATTTTCTTGATGATGAACAGATGTTGACTGTCTAATGCGCGATGGGGTTCAGAGATGAGTGCTGCTGTAGTGTCATTTGAAACTAGTTAATACGTCTGTTGAACTAATAATTTGTATACACAGATGGCACTCAACCAGAATGAGCTTTTTTACGCCGCCGCGTCTGCAGCTTGTTTTAACCACAGGTTATCAGGCGAACGCATCAAAGCGCATTTTCGCAAATAGCAGTCAACTTTATGGGTTACATTTGACGGCTGCAGTCAGTGGAAAATCAAAGAAAAGCACTGCAGTTAAAATACTTCATATTCACCGAAGCAAATTTTGTTTGTTATTTAGAACGAATTCAAGCAGTATAAATATCAGGCCTGTGCTTATATTTACGGTAACACTTTAGAATAGGGAACAGAGCATGTGAGCGAAGCGGAGTGGTGTGACGCTCCGCTATGTTTTCCGCTCTATGGACGTGCGCTCCACTCAGTCGCTCTAACCGCCCAAGCAAGCGCTCCGTTAATATTCCGCTCACGCTCGCCGTAAACCAATTCCCGCTCAGATCCCGCTCTGACATACAATTTCTCTAGTAGGCCTAATTGTTTACTGTTTGTAACGAAATTCTTGGATTATTGTCTAAAATTAAGCATGCTGATAAATAGCAATTATCATGTTTCAGAGCGAAATTCTTACATTCTTCTTAATTTTATTAATTGTAATGTATTAATTAAAATGTATTAAATATATGAATCTAACCTTAGCAAACCTACCTAAAATGCAAAAACTGAAAAAGTGTATTTGATTTTCGTTAACTTTATTTCCGTGAAAATAGCTGCCGTTGTTGTGCAATAGAACATTCAAAACAGGCTCATTAAAACACAAACGCACACACACGCGAGATGAAATGTACGTAGATCTTTACAAAATACACCTGGATTATAAAGCCTGTGAAAAGAACACACAAGATAAAATGCACTTAAAGAACGCTTGGATTATGAACTGACGTCAATGAAAGAAACACACTTTCTAGTGTCAAGTTAAAATAGACCATAACTGCGGGGAACTGTGGTCTATTAAAACGTCTCTTGATGTTTACTGGATTTTAGAATTTACTTTAAGAAACATTAGCTTGGACAAAGTGTCAGGCTTCAGCATTCGGTGTGCCCGAAAACACTCGCTCAGCGCTGGAAGAACCACTGGGGATGCTGAAGATTTTGCGGGCGACCTTGGCTAGTTGAGGGAGGGATCCAGCACTGGTTTTCCAAAATCCTAGTACGTCTTCCTGTGGACTTTTTCTCATTGAGCCCGGGTAATCCTCCATCTGACCTCTGGAGGTGTCAGCTACACTCGAGTTACTCTCATATGAGCCGAAAATGCGCACCTTCTTGGGAACGCTTCTGACCTCAGTGACTGTGTCTACACCACTGCATTCTGCCTCCCTGACAACGCGTCGTTGTAAATTCCAGTGTTGTAAAACACCTTCATATTTCTGAAAAATATGCTCAGCTGTGTGGTGTCCTTTAAGATGTTCACAGGACAGCAACACAGTGTGACCATTGAACACTTCATCAACGAAACTTGCCACAACACCCAGAAAGCTGTGTCCTCTTCTGTTTGTCCATATGTCTAACGTAAGCGCGAAGCCATCTCCTAACTGCATCAGCTCCCTAAGTCTGCCTTCCATCTCACTAAGAGCATTTGGCATCAGTGTATCACGCACTGTACTGTAGCATGGAGTGGTGTACCCGGGCTGGGCAATGCTGACAAAATGACGCATGCCCTCTCGTTCACCTTTTGTCAGAGGTTCATAACCCTCTCAGTTTCTTCTCCCTGCTCATTCTTAACTTTGATTTTTACTTTACATTTATGTATAAGGCTTGCAACTTCATTGAAACAATATCGGAACTCCATAACTACTCTACTATTCTCGATCTCTACAGATTCTCGATCTCGAACAAGCAAATCACCAAATGGCATTCTGGGTTGAGCGAGCGGCGCTGAGCGTATTGAGCGAGCGGAGCGGAATCTTCAGAAAGGCGCTCTGCGCTCTCAAGGAAATATTACCACTCCGCTCCCCGCTCCGCTCACATGCTCTGATAGGGAACACTTATTCACTCTTAACTACGACTTTTCCCTCAATAAATTAATAATTTGCTGCTTATTAATAGTTAGTAAGGTAGTTGTTAAGTTTAGGTATTGGGTAGGATTAGGGATGTAGAATAAGGTCATGTAGAATAAGGCATTAATATGTGCTTAATTAGTACTAATAGCTAATGTTCTAGTAATATGCATGCTAATAAGCAACTAGTTAACAGACCTTAAAATAAAGTGTTACCATATTTACTCTAAGCTACACAGTACTATACCATATTTTAGAAAATGAAAATAGTACAATGCGGCATAACATAAATGAAAGTTTCTGTCTCTCTCTCACGGACACACGCGCGTCTCATGAAACAAAACCAAGCGAAGCAACACTGCATGCTATTTTGTATATAATACTGCGACACTTTGCAAAAACCTGCTGGAGAGCCTAATATTTGTTGCTCAGTGTGAAATGGACATGCTCCATCTAAAAGAATGTCTCTGCGATTGGAAACACGTGAGGGATTGTTCTCTGTGGTCATTCAGAGAAATGAGTTCGGCCGATCTTCAAGTAATTTTCACAAAAGGCTAACATGTAAATGGATATGTAATATCTCATTAAATGACAAAATGCTTCAGTTGTATGGTGTTGACTAATTCATGTTTTATTTTCTACATTTTGGATGGATTCCCCCAAACTCTGTACCAAACACACAAATGACACGGACTTCAAATCATATTTTTTTCCTCATCTTACATCAGCTCACACAGGGAATGTGATTCTATATGAACACTTGCAATAATTAATAAATGTAACTTTTCATGCAGAATTGAAAAGGTGTAAACCAATTCACAGAGCGCCACACATGATATGCAGGAAAAAAGGTATCAACTCACATGAATGATTTATTAACCATCCGTTTTCACTGAAATATGAGGATGAAATAATAGTGAATAGCCTAAAAAAACGAATAAATGAGTAAAAGGTATGTATTTAGGCCTATTATTATTATTAATGTTGTTGTTGTTGTTGTTGTTGTTGTATATTTAAACATGTTTTAATTAATAAAAAGGAACAATTTAATAAAAAGTGATCAACAATTTCTTAATTGATGATTAATCATTTTCGGCTTGTCATGGGCAGGGCTTTGTATGGGAATAGATGTGTCAAAAAAGGACAGATAACAGACAAGTCTGCGTGACCTGCTGAAATGCATCAGCGAATTGACAATATTACTGTTTTTACTGTATCTTTGATCAAATAAATGCAGCCATGGTGAACAGAAGAGACTAATCTTTCAAAAAAAGAATATACAAAATCGTGCTGCCCCAAAGAGAGTTCAAGTGGGATGTGCTGTCAGTGTTTAGTTAGCTGGTTTTCTGGTAGACTGAAGCTGATGTAGTGAATGATGCTGTCAGTGATGTGTGTGACAGATCGCGGCTTACGTGAACCAGCCCATGGTGGACGTGTCCATTCTGCAGCGCTCACTGGCCATCCTGGAGAGCATGGTGCTGAACAGCCACAGCCTGTACCAGCGTGTGGCGCAGGAGACCCCTGTGGCGCAGCTCATCACACACCTGCAAGTGTGAGCACATACACACGCACACACACACTCTCACACTCACACTCTCACACACACACACACACACACACACAATTAGTGTCTGTGCTATTTTTGTCCAAAAGATATGAGCGATAAAAATGTCTTTGTACTAGTGATGCAAAGTCCGATTCATTTCCGCGAACCAGTTCTTTTCGGACAGATCGTCTCATTGAACCGGTTCAAAAAGCCGATTCATCGGTTCCTGATGTCATCAAGCAATAACGTCTGTACGCATTTCTTTTCTAACAACTCAGTGACGTTGTATCAATGAAAAATTCAAATAAATAATTTGTCAACACATATGAAACTTTAAAAAAATACAGTTATTTGTGGTAAAGCATATTGCTTATTATTACCATATAATTCACTTAAATTAATGGTGTTTGTGGTCACAGTTTCATTCGCGGATCCTCAGATACGACTTACTGACCAATATTGACTAGCCTACAACTTGGATAAGATTCCTAAAAGTTTCGCAGCTACAGCACACATCGCGTATCCTCAGATACGACTGACTGACCAATATTGATTAGCCTACAACTTGGATACGATTCCTAAAAGTTTCACACCTACAGCACACATTAACAGACATTGATGCACAAACGCGGATATGTTCTATATGTCTACAGTATAAAGAATGAATAAACCAGTCTTATAAACTCCTTGATTTCGCTTAAGCAACTTTAAATATTATATGCATGCACAATAAACTATTGTAAAATGTATTTACGTTGCAACTTTACAGATCTTCTTTATGCACCAAGAGCTTGTAACACTCCAAAGAGAAAGGAACAATTGAAATCGCATCATATGACCCCTTTAAGTTAGATTCAGTTCGATTTGTGAACCGGCTCGACCAGTTACTTCCAGAGAACCGGCTCAAAAGAACGATTCGTTCAAGAACCGAACATCACTACTTCAGACAGAGTAAACGCAGCCGAACCTGAAGCTGCTGAGCGGCATTTGGATGAATATGTAAATATATATACTGCGCGCTTTCCTCTCAATAACAAAATAAACACATCAAAAACTAATAGCGGTGAGAAAGCAAAAGTTTAAAACGCATCTGATTACAGCGATGCAGATGTTGCACGAGCTCTGCAGTTCAGTACTCCAGTAAAGTCCAGTCACGTCATGTTTATTTATATAGTACTTTATCAGTGTTTCCCCTGCCATTATATTGGGGGGCACCCCGCCCCCTTGAAGATTAAGTTAATTTTATTTACTTTTATTTTCTCTATAGCACCAGATCACAACAGAAGTCATTTAAAGTTACCTTTTCTATAGAACAGGTCTATACCTTGTTCTTTTATTAAACAAACTAAATAGCCTTATGTTATTTATCTCATTTATTTTATTTACACGATGACATGTTTCTGTCTCTACGTTACATGGTCGCGCTCTCTGTATCACGCACAGTGGAGTTCCCCCTGATGCGCACACACAAGTGAACACACTCCCACTCCCACTAGTAATTGTAAATATTAAGCCGCAAAACGACTATTTAAATATTAATTTCGTGTGTTAATGAATGGCGCAGATGCGCGGTTTTGTTTACTACTTGTATTGAAGCACGCGTGACTCTTCCGGTGATTTCAGCATCCCCCCCCCAAAGCCGTAAACCTAGGGGAAACACTGACTTTATGCAATAGATAGCCTTAAATCAAGCAGCTTTACAGTATTAAACATGGAAAAACCAGAGTCAGTGTCGCTTTCCGTTAGAATTACAACTTGATTTTCTGTTATAAAGCAGCTCTGCACACTGCTATAAAGCAGTGTGGAGCTAGCTAATGATAAAATCTTTTTATTAGTGGGAAAAAACATTTCATTAAAGTGATTGTTTGGTTTGCAGAGATCAAAGCTTGATCTAGCTCAGGACTGTTTTGATTATCATAACCCTATAAAGTGTTTTAAGAGAGATTATGTTGTGAATAAAATAGTTTATCCAAAAATAAAATATCTTATCACTTAACCTTTATTTTGTTTCTTATCTATATGACTTAAGGAGATGTTAGGCAGAATGATGTGTCAATCAGTTACTTTTCATATAGCTAATTAAATGGTGAATAAGAGTTTCTCTGCCGTCTCATTTTGTGTGCCAAATATATTTATTTGTATAAATTCATTGTATAACTGTAATTACATAATATGACTTTCAAAAGCTGAAGTGATTACCTTAATGTATTTGTTAGAATATGTATAACTCAATATTTTAATGAATTGCAACAGCTGAATAATCAATAAATGTCTACTGATTAATCAGCGAAATAATCGATGATTAGTCGATTAATCATTCGAATAATAGTTAGATTAATCGATTATCAAAATATTCGTTTGTTGCAGCCTTAACGCACACACACACACACACACACACACACACACACACACACTCACTCACTGACAGGTGCTCCACGCCTCTGACCTCTGATGGGCCACAAAATATCACAAGAATATTAGGCAGTTAAAGGAGTCATGAAATGCAGTTTCAGACTTTTAGAGTATATTTCTCGATGTAGTTTGCTAAGTTTTCTGCACTAAAAAGGTCCAATATAAAATGATAATTTTTCATCCTCATTTTCAATCTGTGAAAGACACTGAGTTTGAAGGGGCTCTTCCAGAAATGGAAGTAGACACTCTGCTGTGATTGTCTACAGGCCCGGCGCCAGGACGCATGACTTGGGGGGGCTTTTATATTTCTTGGGGGTTGCGCTTACTTTCAAGTGAACGCTTGAAAGTAAAATACATTATTTGGGTAACACTTTACAATAATTAACTAACACTTTAATACACTTTAATACATTAACTAACATTAACTAATGGAGCCTTATTGTAAAATGTTACAAGTATTTGTAATTAAAGCATATACGTTCACAAAAACACTTAAATTAAACAGAAAGCAAGCAGGTGCATGATTTGGCATGGCAGCCAATACAAATAATTAATAACCGTTTCCTTACCTAAATCCTGCGTTTGGACCAGGCTCGGTTGCAGAATCACATCACTTTGTGCTTCTGAAATTAGGCTATTATCTTTTTTCTATATAGTGTAGTAGTTAGCTATCTCTGTGTCGTACGTGGCCGCTTGTCAAGCATGAAAAACTTTTTATTTAAATTCTGAATAAAGAAAGAAGAAGAAAACAGATCCTAGACCAGGAGTTATGGGCAGCTTTTCCATCTAAAAGTAATCAGTTAGACTGTTTTACACTATGAGTTAGACTATTATACACACGAAACTAAAGTCCGGCCGTCCGCCTCTGTCCGGAGTGGGGGCACAGAGATGTCCAGGGGTGGGGCCGAGAGCTCCGGAGTTTGGTTTGCAGAGATCAAAGCTTGATCTAGCTCAGGACTGTTTTGATTATCATAACCCTATAAGGTGTTTTAAGAGAGATTATGTTGTGAATAAAATAGTTTATCCAAAAATAAAATATCTTATCACTTAACCTTTATTTTGTTTCTTATCTATATGACTTAAGGAGATGTTAGGCAGAATGATGTGTCAATCAGTTACTTTTCATATAGCTAATTAAATGGTGAATAAGAGTTTCTCTGCCGTCTCATTTTGTGTGCCAAATATATTTATTTGTATAAATTCATTGTATAACTGTAATTACATAATATGACTTTCAAAAGCTGAAGTGATTACCTTAATGTATTTGTTAGAATATGTATAACTCAATATTTTAATGAATTGCAACAGCTGAATAATCAATAAATGTCTACTGATTAATCAGCGAAATAATCGATGATTAGTCGATTAATCATTCGAATAATAGTTAGATTAATCGATTATCAAAATATTCGTTTGTTGCAGCCTTAACGCACACACACACACACACACACACACACACACACACACACACACACACTCACTCACTGACAGGTGCTCCACGCCTCTGACCTCTGATGGGCCACAAAATATCACAAGAATATTAGGCAGTTAAAGGAGTCATGAAATGCAGTTTCAGACTTTTAGAGTATATTTCTCGATGTAGTTTGCTAAGTTTTCTGCACTAAAAAGGTCCAATATAAAATGATAATTTTTCATCCTCATTTTCAATCTGTGAAAGACACTGAGTTTGAAGGGGCTCTTCCAGAAATGGAAGTAGACACTCTGCTGTGATTGTCTACAGGCCCGGCGCCAGGACGCATGACTTGGGGGGGCTTTTATATTTCTTGGGGGTTGCGCTTACTTTCAAGTGAACGCTTGAAAGTAAAATACATTATTTGGGTAACACTTTACAATAATTAACTAACACTTTAATACACTTTAATACATTAACTAACATTAACTAATGGAGCCTTATTGTAAAATGTTACAAGTATTTGTAATTAAAGCATATACGTTCACAAAAACACTTAAATTAAACAGAAAGCAAGCAGGTGCATGATTTGGCATGGCAGCCAATACAAATAATTAATAACCGTTTCCTTACCTAAATCCTGCGTTTGGACCAGGCTCGGTTGCAGAATCACATCACTTTGTGCTTCTGAAATTAGGCTATTATCTTTTTTCTATATAGTGTAGTAGTTAGCTATCTCTGTGTCGTACGTGGCCGCTTGTCAAGCATGAAAAACTTTTTATTTAAATTCTGAATAAAGAAAGAAGAAGAAAACAGATCCTAGACCAGGAGTTATGGGCAGCTTTTCCATCTAAAAGTAATCAGTTAGACTGTTTTACACTATGAGTTAGACTATTATACACACGAAACTAAAGTCCGGCCGTCCGCCTCTGTCCGGAGTGGGGGCACAGAGATGTCCAGGGGTGGGGCCGAGAGCTCCGGAAGGATGAAAGGAGGAGCTACGACAGTGAAAGAGGAGAGAGGATCAGGCCTGGACTTCTCTCGTCTTTCACTGTCGTCACTCCTCCTTTTATCCTTTCGGAGCTCCTCTGTGGGACTCGAGACTGGTGAGTGGTGCAGGTGTCGCTCATTATCAATTACTCCACTGGCCTCGCTCCGTTCCCACGGCTCTCGGCCCCGCCCCCACTCGTCACAGAGCCCAAGATAGAAGAAA